CCCATGTGTGGGGTGAGGAGAACAGGGTGCCCGTGTGTGGGGTGCAGAGAACAGGTGCTCTGTGTGTATCCAGTTTTGTGGGTGGGGTGGGGAGAACAGATTTCATCTGCACATCCCACTTGGTTCTGTTCTGCAAATGGGGACCCAAGCCACGGAGCCCCTGCCTGGGATGGAATGCCACTCCATGGCAGGCAGCTTGACATTGTGCATTTGTTATGGCTGCTTTCAAAATTTCTGAAGAGTATCTAAAGCCCTCCCTCCCATTCAGGTAAACTTTGATGACCCACTTAACAAGCAGTGATACAAGTGTGGAACAAGCATTCAAGCACCTGAGACAAGATTATTTTATCTGCACACACACACACTTACCTGTGGTAGGTATGGGACCAAGCATAAAATAACACCCATAGTCCTTTTCCTCTGATGATTCTGGAAGAATAAAATTCCCAACCCCCTTTTTCAGAGGATGCCAGGACAGCCCCATTGCTGCTCAGGAGAGCAGAGCAGGTTTCCTCAGCCAAGCTGACAATGGTAATTGATTGTTATGACATAAAACCAAAGATGGAAGAATAAGAACTGGCTTCATTGGAACTTGCTGTATTATTAGCAAGATAGGCCATGAATGGCGACTCTGCCCCCTTAATAAACCCCTTCTCTTCCACAGATGTAACAATTATCAGAAAGTTTGGCATCTCTAATTAACTACAGTCACACACAGTCCCTACAAATCTCCTTGTAATTGTTGCCTCCAATTCAAGAGAAAAAGATCAGCAATATCAGTTTTTGGTTGTGGGTTTGGCTTTTTTTTTTTTTTTTAATAAAGTTTACCAACCTTGAAATAAATGATCTGGAAAGCTGAAGCAGATGCTTCTTTCTGGTGTCATACAGATGTCACACACAGCCAGACAGAAGTGGTCAATTTTCCAAGTTCCTTGTCCTTACAGGGGAACTTGGACAAGAGCATTTCCCTTTTGAGAATTTTGTATCACGTTTAACTGAGCTGAACAGTGATACGATCTTTGTGCACACATCTCTGCCTTATCAGAGCTTCCTGCAGAAGGATCTGTGACACAAAGTACACTAAGCCCACTGTGACCTCTCCAGAAACAGCTGCAGGAATTAATTACATCTGTTCATAATTATGCTGTTCTCAGAGGTGCTGATGACAGCTTGGAAGTGGAACCAATTTCCACCAATCTCCTCACGCATTTTCCTAAATTTACCAACTGATCTTCAATAACAAGATAAAACAAGTGAAAAGCAAATTTGCTGAAGGTGACAGGAAAAGGAGAGCTAGCTCCATGCTGAGATGACTCACACTGATTTGTGATAAAAAAGGCACAAGGATGTCTCAGCTCCCTGCAGCAGCTGATGGGGGGCAAAGGAGAGAACCTGGCTTTCAGGAGCTTTGTTTTAAACTCCAATTCAAAAGCTTGTTGAAACCAAATGGAAGTATTTCTGTGTACTGATGATATATATTGGACTTGGAGAGATACATTTCACATAATTTCTCTCTTTCCATCATTTATACAGGTTTGAACACTTCAGCATGCATTGCAGGTATCTGCTTTTGTCTGATAACAAAAAATCATTAACACATGTGTGAAAGGTCATGAAACTGAAATTTGCAACTGCCAATTCTTACTGCTTTTCTTGATTTGTCACCATTTTAGAACAGTATCTAGTTTTGTGTTCTTTTTATACTTGAAAAATGTTCTGTGACACGTGCATCCCCACCTGTAACAAAGTTTAACCTGAAGGCTCTGAGAATACTGCAGACACACACAAAATGCACTGCCAGGCACAGAGGGCAATAACAAAGCCTGAACTAGCACAGGACAGGGGTACACAACCATTTGAGAGATGCATTATCAGTCTTATTTCCTGATACATCTGTAACACAGTACAGATGCAAAAGGTTTGCCTAACCTTATGAAAATTTTCACATTTCCACAGTGTAGAAAGTTGGGTGACACAAAGTGGAATTGAAAATTATGAGACTCCCAGAAACTTAGAATTTTAACATCAGGTATTCCCTATTTTAACATCAATATAATTTGGGGAAAAAAAACCCCAAAACATAACTTTTCAGTCAAAAAGCTCCTGAATAATTGCATCCTTAGAAATAAGTTGTTTGAATTTACTAGCATGGAAAACAGCACCATCATGTAACACATTATGCTTTTTAATTAGGATTGCAGTAAAAACAACTGTGCTGAGTTGTGAAAAGAACACTTGCACCTTTTCACTGTAACTTTACTGGTTTTTAAGGTTTTGATGGAGTTAATCTCCCATAAGAGCCCTGCAGACCTGAATGGGCCTGGGTACCAACTTGCTGCTGAAAATCATCAGGCTTTGAGAACTTGGGGAATCTCTGCAGCTGGACCTACAGTACTGTTCAATAGAAATTCTGCATTTTTTCCTTGGATTTTATTGAAGTGGGATAAAGAACAGGAAAATCTGCTATTCAGTGATGCCATTCCCTCTGATCTGCCTTTCCTAACAAAACCAACATCCCAAGCACACAAATATAAGAAAACTCTTCCCACAGTGCAGAACAACAGCCTAAGAGCAACAAAAAAGAAAGCAATGAGAATGTGAGCTTAGTTCATCCACCTTAATTTTTATCTCAGTGTTCCTTCTGAAGTTCATGAAAAAATCACCGCTTAAAGATGTTTTTTAGTCTAAAAATTCCATTTCTGTGATTAATTAAAACACTCAGTTGCTTCAGCTCATACTGGCAAGTACCTGGGTGTTACTCCTGCATGCTAAGAATAAAGATTTAGCAGCCTTGACTTATGTTACACAGTCTCCCACACACAGGTCTAATTCTCAAGATTTTCATCTCCAGACACCAGGACCAGCTTTCTCTGCTCACTGCCCCACTTTGTCTCAACACAAGCAGCTGAAAAAGCTCCCACAAAAAGCACAGGCCTGAGCTGCACCCAACATGGCACCATCGCTCCAGTGGATGGCAAATTCAATGAGAAATCATAGTATCAAAATAGCTATTGAAAAATCAAACTTGATAAAAATAGAAGTTTAAACTGCTGTTTTAATCAATGTTTGTATCAGGTAACTGTACACCAAATATTAAAGGACTATTCAGGACTAACGCCCTCATCAGTAGGCTCATCTATCAGCATGACCAGAACAAGAGAAGATCAATGTTTAGCTGGCACTCAAGTACAGCACGGCTTCAAAGCAGAGATCATATCAGCATCAAAGCACAGAGAAAAACAGTGGTTAGAATATAATACACTAAATTTGCAATGTCAGTATCCCTGATGATTCTAACAGAAACAGCAACCTAAATATTGTGAAGTTAATCACTGCTTCTGAACAGAACACAAAATAACTTGCATTTTTAAGAAAAATGAAATGAGTGACTGATGGGAATCAGTTCCCCAAATATTCCCACATGTGCTGCAAATTCAGTGGGATCTGCACAAAATATCAGTAAGTTCTATACAATTTTAAAGTGCATTTCATCTGTTTAAGAAAGTAATAAAATATCAGCTGAACACAGTGACTCATAATCAAACCAAACATTCTTGACAGTCATTCACAGCAAAGCACAAAGCAGTGAAAATTTGTCTTTTCCATTTCCAGCTTGGATACATCCTCCTAAGGTACAGGCACTGTGCTGCCTAAACACAAGGCTCTCTACACACCTGACCACTACAAGAAAATAAATAAAATGACACTTGAGAAGCTTGAGGAGTTCTTTGATCTCTTGATCAGAATCAGTACAGCTTTCAGCCTAGCAGGGACACGTGGCAGTGTGCTATCTCACAACAGTTCATTCTGCCAATGAACAAGAAAAATCATGGATTTATTTTGGTCAATTCAGCATCTTATTCACATGCAGATATTAGAAAACAGTCATTTTGATAAATGAATACCAGTCTTGTGTTTCTTGGAAGACTTACTCAATTTTCCAAATCTGTGATGTTTGGATTGCTTTCACAGCATTCTACCATTTCAGATTTCCATTTCCTACATCTTTTGCAATTCCAACTTATTTACTGTGCACATGTATATCCACTTAAAAATCAACTTTATTTATCACCAAGGAATTCTTTCACAGATGAAGAATTAAATCATCACCCTCTAAAATAATACTTTATTTCTAATACTAGATAGAGTTAATATTTCAGTTAAAGTAGTATTGAAATATTCACTATAGTAACAAGGAAGGGAAAATCTGCATGCCAGCAGTACCTGTAATGAAAATTCTTTCAGAGTCAATTTTCAGGCATTTGGAGGGCTGGGAGTGACACAACACTGAGTAACACTTGTATGTAACACATGAAGTCAGTTGCCAGTGAAACGCAAAAGATCCAGTAATATGAAAAGACAAAAAAAAAAAGGTAGCTACCCCCCTTGAAAGCTTTTTTAGCAACTGTAACAATGCAATTCTTTGCTACCCAAAAAATATGTACCAGGATCTAGGAAAACATCTAATTTTCTGCACATCATGTTATTAACTGCAACACCACTGCACGTGCAGGGAGATAGGAACAGCACCAATGGCCTCGGGCAGCTCTCTCCAACCTGCACAAGAACAAGGGCCAAGAGAGACAACTAAAACACTGGAGATTTCAGCCAAAATAACCAAGATTCCTATATCACCAAAAGAAAGGGTGATATATCCAGAGAAGGGGGAAATGCAATAAGCAAGGACTAACTGCAGTACAGCAGAACACATGAAAGATTTATTGCTGAAGCAAAAGTCTGAAGATGAAGTTGTATGCAGCAGGAATAAAGGCTACAGCACAGGACTGAAGCAAGGCCTTTGTCAAATTAATGAACAATTTGGGAGGTGACATTCTCAGAAAAAGTGCTCCCCTCTCAAAGGACAACCTCATTAAAATGAACATACCACAGGGAGAGGACACTTCTTTTAAATCTTTTCTTTAAAAAGCAAGTAACTGAACATTAATGCAGCCAGACAGCAGACGTGTAAATGCAAAGGGAGGTCTGGTAGCCATTGAAAATCCCAATATGGTTCAAATTCTGTCTGCAAGGAATTCTGCCTGAAGTGAGAACCTAGTCTGTCTCAAAAAAACAAAATATTTAAAAACTGCAAAAAAGCTGCCACTTTAAAACATCTCTTAAAATTCTGAAAGTGGTAAGAACAAAATGGGTTGAATATGTGGGCACTTCAGAAGCAAAATCTCAGGACTAAGATACCTGAGCAGAAGTTCAAGACCATATCAGCCAAAACCACTGAGCAGGTCTCCAAAAGGAAACAAAGTTTGCTCATCATTTTCAAAGATACATTATTTCTGTGTGAACAAGGCCTGTGCTGCAGAAAGCTGGCAGTTGTCCTGGGAGATGTGTGTCCACACTTCACTAAAATCTGACAGGTCACCAAAAATGACTTGAATGAACCCAAATGAATGGTCAGTGCATGACCAGCACACTGGTAAGATTCGTTACTCTGAGTCAACTAAATAGTTTTGGGAGTTTGTTTAGTGTGGGTTTTCTTTTAAAAAGCAGTATCTGGGAAGGCTGTTTGGCTAAAGCTGGAGCCCTCACCTATCCCAGCTGCAGAGCTGAGTGCTTGGTGCTGCTGCTCTCCCATGGGCAGCACAGAGCACAGGAATGGCCAAGTAACTGTGCTTGGATGTTCATGAGGCCAGAGATTACAGGTGGAAGCATTATTTCCAGAAAATCCAGAAAACAATAAAGGGAGCTGAGACCCCATTCCTGCTATAAGGAAGGCTCACATTCTTACATGAACAAATTAATTTTTTCAGATCAGAATCTGCTAGAGCAATAAAATACCACATCACACATGGATCATTTGCTCACAGCAAAGGGGAAAGAAAGATCCCTGAGGCTGGAAAACTGGTATTAATCTCTTAGCCAGCATTAAAGAACACAGTAGTAAGACTTAAGGACGTATTAGCCACATCCAAGAGACTCACATTTCTATTGCTTCTCTAATACATATTTATGGCTGTGTAGGAGTAACTTTTAGCAATTCAAATATTGATTTAATTAATAATTTCTTGACAGACATATTTTGGATTAAACCAATCAGGGCACTTAGCTAATAAATAACTGATTTTAGTGCCACCTGTGAGTATGCAGTAATATTTTAAATTTTAAACAACCTATAAGGAAAAAAGCATTTACAACAGAAGGACCTCAGGTAGTTGAACTGGACATTGCCTGAAAATCACATTTTTCTATTGCTACAAATGAAGCCAAAGTGACCACTAATTGCATCAAAGTTTATAATCTGGGTACTTAAGGATGTACAACTTCCAAAAATGTTATACAGAAAATTCCTAACAAAAATCAGAGATACAGAGGGCTTTGGAAATAATAGGCCTTGGATGTGAAATTTTACATATTGAGCTGAAGGACAGGCTGTAGGGCAGTTCACTGCTGTGTGCAGCTACCCAAGAGACACAGATCATTTGGCTGTGTTGGAACTACACAGCAGTACAATACACAGAATAAATAGGTTAATGATCAGATGCTAGCTAGCCTTGAATTCTTTTCCCTCAGAACACAACCTAAAAGAATCCAAGTGTTCCATAGATAGGGAAAGAGAACAGTCAACTTGGACACTGCTGTTATTTTCTTAATGAAACACCTCTTGCTTCCAAACTGTGACTCATGAGGAGCCTTCCCACTACACATATTGGCAACACAGCCTCTTTACTGCCTGGCACTGTCAGCACAGGCACAATTCAAATCCAGTATGTCTCTGTGAATTACAGGTCACCGCCAAAGTTGAGGAAATTTTAGCTTGGTAAGTAATGACTTAAATATTCTTTTAATTGCAGTCAGATAACAGATTTGAGGGAGTGGTTGCTTTTTTGGCTTGTTTTGTGGGTTTGTTGATTTTTTGGTTGGTTTTTGTTTTGTTTCTTTTTAATGGGAAGTGGAACTGTCTGAAGTGTGCCCTGGGCTGGGCCAAGAGGCAAAGCCCAGGAGAGAGTTTGCTCCCTTGCACCTGCTCATCTCGAGAGATGCAGGCAGGCACTGGCAGCACTCCTGGTGCCCACTGTGTGTCCAAGTGTCCTCCAAACAGCCAGTCTGACTCCCTGTTCCTCATGAGTATCTGACAGCAGCAGTTTGGGGAGTGCCTGAAATAAGGAACTGCGTGAAGGGAGGACTGATTCTGCCTTCTGACTAATCTGCATTTACAGAGATGCCTCAGCTCTACCTCAGTTTGCTACAGCTCCTCACCCTCAAGGCATAAGGGCATCCTATGCATTAGTGGCAGGTAGAAACATAACCACTAAGAGAGGCAGTTGAACTGAATTATTTTTTGCAGACCCAAAAATAAAACCAATCTGTTATTATGAACCTTTATTAAGCGGCTCACATTTCAGTATAAATCACACTAAAAAGATTCTTAAAAAAGATATTTACACTACAGTGCTGACACATTTAAAATGAAAAAATTGGTATAAATAAGCTCTATGGAAAAGCCTGGAATTGTCAAAAAGAATTCTGGCTCATCTTACAAAAAATATATATGTTAAATGTCAGCTCTACTCTAAAACCTACAACTCAAAATTATTTAAAGACTTCTTTATGTTAAACCTGCAGTGTTTACAGTGCATCTGGCCCTAAGTGCTTTGATACTTCACAGTTATGGACAGGCACTGAGGAATGTTACAAAGCTACATAACTATTTTCTGTAACAGATGCGAAGACAAGTCACAAACTTGCCTCACAATTTATGATCTTTACATTATTACATCATTAAGTTTAAAAAGGAATTTAAAACCATATATACAAATTTAGCACAAAAAATCATCCTCTCTTTGTCCATGCAATTTTGGATATGATGAGCTAGGCTGTCTTGTATCATCTGGATGTACGTGACCTCCAGAGCACAACTTGCCTTGTAAGTCCTTGTTGCCGGTTTCAAATTTAGAATCCATTTCCAACTTTAGTGATGTCAACTCAGCGTGACCCAGCCTAGGCTGAACATTCTGTCCCCCGACGTCATTAGGCATCACTGTCTTTTCAGCAACATCAACATTCATGGGCTCTTCTTTTACTCTGAGGGATGCAAGAGGTTCATGTTTTATGGGCACAAACTCCTGCTGCAGGTACTTGGTCTGCAGAGCATCTGGAAATTTGGTGTCTTCGGAGGTATCTTTGCTCACCGTACACACTCTGTCAGTCTGAAGTCCAACAACCGAAGACTTGGGGTCTGCAGAGGTCCCTGCTTCAACAGGATTTGTGTTTTGAGAGAGTTCTTCCTCTGAATGATAGAGCTTGAGCCGGATGTGCCAAGCCAAACTACACACAGCTGAAACTGTTTTGAACTGGTGCACGACATTCCTCGGGATGAAATAAATGTCATTATCGAATAACTGGATTCTGGCATAGCGAATGCCTTCCCTTCGCAGCTGATTAAGCTTTGCATCATCCACCCACTGGACACACTGCAGGGAAAAGGTGGGCAAAGGTGAAAACTCTGACAGCACTCAGAGGCCACTGACCATCAGTTCTCAGTGTGCTTACCTGTGAGAGTGGAGGCTCATGCAAATCTAACTGCATTCGCTGAACTACCTCCAAGAAGTCCTCAGCATGAAAACAAATTACATCTTTGGTTATACGAGGCTGCTCACACCTACAGAAGAGTAACAAGTGCACAGTCAGAGGCTGAAACTACCATGCTGCAGAAAATAACAAAAAGTCTGCAAGAAAGGATAAAGCAAATTTTTAACTTAAGAAAATGCAACAACTCTACCATAATCAACAATAAAAAAAAGTTGATCATAACAGTTAATTCTAAAACACAACCTCATTAAACTGGTTAAACAGTTAATTCTAAAACACATCCTCATTAAACTGGTTAAACAGTTAATTCTAAAACACATCCTCATTAAACTGGTTAACAAATTAACTAAAATTTCTTTATAAGTGGAAGTAAAGGCAGCAATAAAAGGCCAACAAAACACACTATTTTCCATTTCTATTTTTAACTGGCCTCTTGGTTGCCTAGATGCTGAAGGACAGCTGTGCCAGACAGACTGGGCTTACTCTGTCAGCACCAGCACCCATCAGAGCAGTCTGACTGGGAGCCCTGCTCAGCACCTCAGCCTCCAACACCTTGCCCAGAGCTGGGAGTAAAAGCTGAACCTACATTAAGCTGCCACAATGCCAGTAATCAGCCAATGGCATCCTCCACAAACATCCCTTAAAAATACATCCTAATTATGCTCACTAGAGAGAGCTACACAAGAGCAAAGTCTGAATACGGCTTTGTCTCCATATTCCAACTGTTAGGAGAAACATCTCTAGTTCCAAAGCATCTCTCCCAAAGAAATACACACCATTAATATAGCTCCTCTGGAGACAACAACTACAATCAGCTCACAAAAGGCAAAAGCATCTACAATCCTTATAAATTCCTGATCTAAAGGCCAAACTCTGTTCCTCACTGAAAACATGTAAAAAATAAAAGCTCCACATACTCACTTTAGAGGGATGTTTGCATTTTAGAAAGACTTTTAAATTTAATGTGATTACATGAAGATTTCATTTATAAAGGATAAAGCTCACCTTGGAGCAGTTTTGCAAGGACAGTTTCTCAGCCAGAGGGAACCTGGTGAGAATTCCTGTCCTTTCCCCCCTGTACCCCCTGGGCTGACAGGAATGCAGCAGGGAAGGCAGCAGCTCCTCAGTGGGCACAGCCAGGCCCTGCCCACGGGAGCAGGGACCAGAAGCCAGCGCTGCCCTCCTGCAGCAGGGCTGGTGCTGCCTCCCTGCAGTGCATCCTCACCTGCCTCCACCCTCCAAACATGGGCTGCAAGTCACACACAGGGAGCCTGGGGAGCAGCTGATGCAGCAGAGCTGAAACATCTTCTGAAATAATTCAGAATCCAACAGATGTTCAAGAGCCCTTTTTCAAAAGCAAGATGAGCATCTGTTTTTATATAAATATATATATGTGTCCTGTTATTACTGTTCTAGGAAGCAGGCAATGATGCTTAGTTCATTCAGGCTTTTTAAACATAGGAGACATGTTTATTTTATTTAGGTCATGGCCTCAATAAAGCAAAAAAATAACCAGTCTGAGGCTATTTTCAGGAGAAAAAAAAAATCCCAGATCAACTACTGACAGTATGCTAGGGAGATTTTCAGACCACATATTTTACTTATTAAAGATTAAGATGTGTCTCTCTATTTTGATCCATATACTCCTGATTTAAATACTGAAAGCAAAAAGCTTGAGAAATATTTCTAACCAGTGGTATTAAAAATATTAACTACATTCATCTACCTTTTATAATGCAGGCATTTATTTTTAAAATATGAATTTGCACTTGGAGTCCCCAATATTAGTAAATGAAGTTAAGACTTAAAATCATTTTGCACACTTAGAGAACTTCAATCCAAACTGATGTGTTCTCCCAGCAGTGTCTGTTCTGGTTTATGCATTGTCATTCCTACTCTCAGTCCATATGGATCTGTCCAAGAGGATGAGGGATCACCAGCTCTGTACTGCAGTTTTGCCACAGAACACAACATTCCTATTGCAAGCAACTGAGAAAAAAATACTATCAGATAATTTTAAATTCTGCATTTGCAGATTTTATCTTTAACACAAATTTGAGATGATATTTTGCAAAACCTTTATTTTAGGTATCATGTATCTCCCCCCAAGCAGAACTATAGCACAGACATAGTTAATGTCCAAAAAGACATGAAATGAAAACAAACCATAAGATAACTTCAGAAAAATCTATTTAAGCCTCTACTAGAGAACTGCTAGAACTGATTTTGGCAGTATTTTTTCACCTTAACCTCATTCTTCAAAAGGATTGGATTCCTTCTGCTGTGACTTTTCAAAACAGATTCAAAACTAGAGGTTTCACCATTAATATTCCTGGCCTAATGCATAAAGACTGGCAATATATAAAGAATTCCTATGATCATACAGAGAAGCACAACTTCAGTCTCTAGAACACAAACCTGAAAGCTGCTTGCTGAAGCACAGGTTTCATTTTGCCAACAACAATACCAAAAAGTGCCTTTTGCTGTCCCTGTAAAAACAGGTACACCCACCCAAATTTCCCACGTAAAAATTTTATACATTTCCATAATTAAAATTTCACTGGCACTTCATAAGTTCTAAAGCTCACTTGGTATCACCAATGAAAATGGCATTAAGTAATCAGCATGATCAAACCTGCATTTATCAGATTATAGTTCAATCCTTAAAATGTTTGCTAGCAATAGTCAGAGTTCTGTAAATTGTAAATACTCAAAGCAGTACAAATAAGATCATAATACATTAAAAAATACCTCAAATCAAGATCCTGTCACACTTAGGAAAGGACATATATTTTTCTTCTTCTCCAAAATAAAATGCTTAGTTTCAATGTCTGTCCTGTAACACCATAACCTGCTTTTTGCTTTTCAACAGTTCTGTTCTTGTCTGTTCTTAAAGACAACATTTATCCCACCTAGCATTAACATTCATCCCTATCAACCAGGAAATAAATCCTACTTTCTTTAAATCTACAGCAACTTATAAAGCTTTTTTTTGCCCACTCAATCCATTTTTATGGATTTAGTTCAGGCAGCTGAGGAATTGTTTCATTTTCTCCTCACAGAAAGCATTATTTTTATGTACATTATCTCATCACTGAAACATGCATTTTTACTGCCATGGTGCCTTAATCACCCCAGAATCTCTTCAACTTTTCAGATTTGTTCAACTACTCAAACAGGTTTAAAAAAAGAAACAAAACTGAACAAAAATCAAAACTAGATTTTTCAAAACTTGTCATTCATGTTGTTTCCTTTAAAATAAATCCACCCACAGATTGCAAATTACAGCAAAACTAATACCTGAAATAATTTCAATGTGCTACATTAATCCATTATGTTTCATTTTCATAAGCCCTGATTAGTTCTCCTCCTGTAAGTTCAAGTGGCTTTTCAAAATTACATAAAAGTGGAAAGGGAAAGCAGGAATTATAATTTAGGCCAAATCAAGCCTGAAATACATAACTTTTATTGTGTTGCTTGTGTTGCATATTTTATTCCTCTCCATATATCAGTTACAAATTTTTTATTCTGAATTAAAATATATATTCAGTCTTTACACTGAAATGAAATGCTGATACTTCTTTTTTATTCCTCAAACTGAAGGACTTTCATGTATGCTATAAAGCAATAGGATGAGAATGGGAAGTTCTCAGACACTTAAATTACTGTCAATTCAACTTCTTAATCTCCACAAACATCCAAGTTCAGGGAGTGGGGTTTTGTTTGGTTTCTTTACTTCCTTTGCAAGTCCCTCTCTCAAGTGTGCAAAGTGGAATTTAAAACACTCAGATCTACACAGTTAGCTCAGCTCTTGCCCTGCTACTGCTGCTCAGTCTTAGTTCACCACAGCACAGTCAGAGCAAGCAGGAAGCTGAAGGCTCCCACTGTCATCAACTGAAGATGAAGGAAACTGAAAACCTCAGAGCCCAAGAGACAAACACATTATCATCTGAACAATCCACTTCTTCCCCAATGACAATTATTCTACTTTCTGTTTCTGTCAATGAACTCATTCACTGCAACACAAATTCACATCATTTTATCCACAGGGAATTCACTTTTCTAATTTCTAGACAGACATAAAGAAAAGGTATTTACAGTGTTTACATATGCAAAGGTAACCTGAAAAACTAAGGTCATTCTTCAAAACTAAGGTCATTCTTCATAGTCTGAAGATGTTGAAAAATGCCTCTTCAATGTGGACCAGGAATCCCATATGGTTATGGGCTTTTTTTTTAGTTCACACGTAAACAAGCTTCAAACGAGGCACATTTCATTTCCTGAATCTCACACAGCAATTCTAAGGACAAACACCAAAAATATCACCCAACTTCCAACAGGATTTTTCCTAGGTGGGCTTACATAAATAAATCAAGGTTGTAGCAACCATGACTTGTAAAACAGAAGCAAAAGAATTCTGCTCATCTCCAGACAACACAAAGAACTACCAGAAGGTCTCTCCATGTGCACCTCTGCTGCAGTAGCAGCTCAGTCTCTATGCACCACTTGAAGCAAAATGAAGTGAGAGGTGTTTTTACATCTAACAGGACCTCAGTGACAGCAACTCAATTACAGCAATTGAACTGTCACTGCCAGGAACCTTTCTGGTTTCAACCACATAGCAAAGCCACATGCAATTAAAGAGAGCAGATAAACACCTGATGCTCAGCCAGCACCTACAAAGTCTTCACTGGATCTTTAATCCTACATTAACCTATTCCACACTCCCTTCCAATTACAAATGGCAATTCAGGCAAACATTTTCCAGTCACCTAGGTGAATCTACACCTACCACTCCCCACAGTGCACAGCCTTCAACACCCCCACAGCAGCCGTGGTCTGTCGCTCAAAGCCTTGTCCTATGTGATCCGCATGGGCTCGCGTCCGGTCCTCAAAGAGCATCTCACGGGGTTCACTGGTTCGAGGTAGGTACTGCAAGTTTTTGATTTCATTGGTAGTTCTGCATAAGAAAAACAGTAACAGTGATATAGAAATTTCTATGAATTAGATAATTCCCATCATAGCCAGTAAGACTGGTCAACTACAAAAAAAATTAAACTTTTCCTTATTTTAAATGGATTTTTTTTTTTATAATTTAGTTTGTGTCCATGTCACTGGGCACTGTTGAAATAAGTTCTTTTTACAACTTTCTGTGAAGTGCCTAAACACATTGATATGATCCCACTGAGCATTTTTTTCTCAAGAGTAAATCCCAGTTCTCCCAGGTCACCAGACATACTCCAGTATGGCCGTGTCTGTCTTAGCCCGGTGAGCCCAGGACTGGGCAGATACTGCAGATGTGTCTCACCAGGGATGAGCAGATAGAAGAACCCTGTCCCTCCATCTGCTGTGCTGCTCGTGCTTGAAATGGCAACTTCCCAGGATGAAGGTGACACTGACTGGCCTGCAGTTCCCCAGGTTTTGCTTCTTACCCTTCTAAATGACTGGAGTTGCATTTGCTTTCCTCCAGTCCTCAGGAACTTTTGCCAATTGCCATAACCTTTCACAGACAGTGGCCTTGAAGTGATACTGGCCAGTTTCCACTGCCCTTGTGGGGTGTGACCCATCCCAGTAGGCCCCACAGGCTTGTGTCTGTCTAATCTGCATGTCTAGGGAGTTTCTTAATCTGATTTTCCTCCACTGAAGGCAAGTAGCCCCTGCTCCAGATGCTCTTACTGTCTCTGTGACAGAGCATGGACACAGAGCATTTCCTGAAAGTAAATCTCACTAGAAAAGACAAGGGCAAAGAAAGCCACTATCTCAGCCTTTTCTGTGTCCTTTGTCCCCAGGCTCTTTGCAGCATTCAGCAATACCTTCCATTTTCCTAGTCTTTCTTCTACTATCCATATGCTGTGGAAGTCCCTGCTGCCCTTCACATCCCTTGCCAAATTCAGCCCCAGGTGGTGTTTGGCTTCAGCTGCATCCCTTCATGGTTGGACAATGTCTCTATACTCCTTCTGAGGCACCTGCCCCTGCTCCCACATCTCACACACTCCCTTTGTGTGTTCCCATTTTGAAAAGAACTCCCATGACAATTCCTTATGACACACAACACTCAAGTTCTGCAGAGGCTGTCCCTACTCTTCAGCTGGTCCTTATACCCAATGCCACAGCAAAGCCTAAAGATTTCATTTAATGTTGGAGTTGTTACCTTTGAGGTGAGAGAAAAGCCTTTGTCCCCAGAGGTCACAACCATCTACTCACATGTGACAGCAGGGGTATCAATTGCAGTCTCATGGCATGTATCAGTAATTGCATGTGTGTACACATTTTCCTGAAATTTTCACCTCAAATTTCTACTAAAGCTCCAAAAAGGACCAGTACCTTACTTGGCCAGACAGTAAAAATTAAAACAAAAGTTCCAGATTCTTACATTACAAAACAACAAAATTGGTTTGGAGATGGACATTTACACTAATTTATATTAAAATATAATATCAAACAGTAAAAGGTTGGGGATAAAATGAATTTGTAAAGAAAACACTACTAACCAGACATTTACCAAGTAAAATAATTCAGCTTACCTCTTCCTTTTGAAAGGTGACTTTGGCATGTCAGCCACAGGGATCATCTGCTCTCCTGGCCGTACCCACATTATGGGACCATCATCACTGTCCTTACGGCTCTCTAATTTTAAACTAGAAAGGGTTCCCCATGGCAGTGTACACTAATGGAAATACAAGGCACAATTTTCAAGTGAGTTACTTTAAAAAACTTACTAAAAGTAGCCTTTATCTCTCACAATGAAAGCATTTATTAGAACACTCAATTATCTAAACAAGTATCACATACTCTCACTTTGCTATTATAGCAGCACTACAGAGCACGGTGTCCCCCTTCTCCCAGCCCATTCCCTTCTGCTCTTACTTTTAAGAAGGGTGATTCTTCCAACATATCAAGGAATTCAGGGAAGTAATCCCCCACTTCCTCATCAACTGCTCCAACCAGGCTGATCTGTCTCATTGGGCCAGCTCTATACGTACCATGAGAGTATGTTCTTTTTACCTACAAGTAGAATATGACAACACAAGTTATACCAAGTCCTCTACTGTGCAAAATCCACATTCCATGAGCACCTGTAAACTCTATGCTTATCCTTTCTGAGACAAAAAGAAAGACTTATTTTAGTCCTTCAGTCTCCAGTGTATTTAAGATTATTATGAAGTGAATTACTACAAACTCAAAGACAGATCTTATTAAACATCCATGACAATTTGTATTTTAATGCCTGAAGATAAACTGGAGTAACTATTTATTGCCTTTCAAGAAGATAACACTCCAAACCAGTAACTTTAAAAAGTTATCAATGTATATTATGCTCAGTGACTAGTCAATAAGGATTCTTACCTGGATTACTCAAGTCTAGCTGAATTTCTACCTTTTCTCTTGCAACAGGCAGAACTGAGTTACAAGTAATTTAACTCTAAACATTTCCTCTGCTGCTCATCCTCTCCAGTACTGCCTCTTTGTGAGCACATTAACTAGAGCAAATTAGTGAACACAAGGCCCATAAAGAGTTTGTACAAAAAGGGAAACAATGATCATCACTCCTTCATTTTTGCTGTGCTAGCACATCTTGTGCTCCCTTCAGACTTTAACAGCTGTAGCATTCACCTCTCATGAGAAATCTACTGTGAAATTTGAACAGAAACACATCTTGTTTTAAAGTTTTCAACAATCTGATCTGTTGTGTTAGATCACCAAAATACTCAGGCATGAGATTGATGAGGATCATGTCCACTTTAAGCTTCTGATTTCCTATTTAACAGGCTGAAGGATGCTGGCATTATGAGATGAAATATGAAGAGCTCAGGATGGAGGAAAGAGCAGAGGGATTACTGCACACACCAAGTAAGGCTCCTCTATGACACCTCTAGACATTCTGCATCCAAAGCAAGAAAAGTAAAACTTTGCAAGGAAAACAGTTAATGAAATACTGCTTAGCTATGGTCCTCACCCAAACAGACCATTAACATTCCTAGCAGTTATGGCAGTGCAGAGGAGAATTCACAGCAGTTCCTGAAAATAAACCATGGAACAGCACTGTGCCCTTCTGAGACACTCAACTAATGTAACCAGATCTTTCCAGAAATGCAGAACCAAACACTGTTCCCATCATCCCAGTCATCTGTTTCCTCCCAGCAAAATTTATGGCTAAAAGTAGGCTTTTACAAAATGTCTTAGCTAATGCTACAGCAAGCCATCACAGACACACTGAAAAGAACAGTCCAGTAATATTCCCCCATTCCTCAAATCCTTAGTCATACATTTGCTGCAGGGATTTTTTTTCCTTGGGTTTTTTTCGTTGTTGGTTTTTTTTTTTTGTTGGTTTTTTTTGGGTTTTTTTTTTTTTTGCAGAGACAGCTGGTGATTTTGTGATAAAATACCACAAAACATTCATTTCTGCTGAATTTGCTTCAGCTCAGTCCTCAGCTACATCTGCACTGGCACAAGGCATCAGAAGCTTGTACAACTACAGCAATGAGCAAGGAATAACCCTAAAGCCACTTTCTGAAGCTGCAGACACCCACAAATCTGTGACACTTTATTAAAATGCCTAACATGCAAAAGGATGTTTCTTCAACTGATATAAGCAGCTTAGTATTCCACCACTCCAGTCCAAGACATTGGGATGTTGTTTCCATCTACATCCCTGATTAAAGAGAACCATTCTTCTGCCTTTTCCAGGCTTCTTTATGCTACCACTCTCCCAGGTAACAAGGGATAAGACAAGAGAAAGTGGCCTGAAGTTGTGTCAAGAGAGGTTTACATTAAATATTAAAAACATTTCTTCACCAAAAAATTTCTCAAGCACTGGAATAAGCTCCCCAGGGAAATGCTGAGTCACCATCCCTGGAGGCATTTAAAAGATGTGGAATTTGAAGATATGGTTTAGTGATGGATTTGGCAGGACTGGGTTAACACCTGGCCTCTTAAAAAGGTCTTATAGGTCTTTTCCATCCTAAATAATTTTATGATTCATACAGAATATGATAAACTGATTGTGAAACTACTCCAAGTGAAAACTCTAAAAATTCTCCTAAAAATACTAAGTTAAAGCTTGGAAAAGCTGTGAAGCTTCCAGCTGGATCAGCCCACCCATCTGGCTTATATACCACTAGGTGCTGGTAAAGAAACCTAAAGCCAGCAAGTATTTAGCTGCAGCGTAATGCTTGCTTAAAGAAGGATCAATTAAGAAATTTTTCATTTGTTCCCAAAAAATCCCATGCCACTGAAAGTTAAAACTGAAAAATGAGCACAGCTTTTTCAAGCACTGTTTGTCCAAGCCCTTTCACCCCCAGCTGCCTGACCAACCACCCTCCCTTGATCACAAGGCAGTACAATCGCTTCTCAAGATCCAGCTCAGGTGAAGAAATCCAATATGAATGCCTAAATAATGTCAAAGTTACAAATGATGAGTGGTTTATTCTGACACCATATTCAGAACCACATCATTGCAAATACAGAATGAAATGTCTGAGTGATTAAGAACTCTGCAGTGGCTTAACCCCAGGCAGCAGATACTGATCTTACAGGCCCTGCTCACTCACCTCCCACTGTTGTGAGACATGGGAGAGAACAGGAAAAGCAAGGAAATGTATGGGTCCAGTTAAACAGAGTTTATTCAGTGAAGACAAAACTGAGGAAGAAAACCCACCAAGTTGTTTGAGTGTTCTCCACCACTCACCAGCTCCCACAAGCAGACTGATGCCCAGCAGTCCCAAGCAACAGGCACCTTCCAGCCAAGCCATCAGGGCCCTCAGGTTTTTTTGATGTCCCACAGCACAGAATGTCCTCAGAGTCACTTGGGGCCAGCTGTCCCAACCATGTCCCCTCCAGCTTCTTGCCCACCCCAGCCCACTCACCGGGGGGGGGGGGGCGGTCCTGAAGCCTTGACACTGTGCCAGTGATGCTCAGCAATAGCCAAAACACCAATGTGTTACCAACAGCTTTAGTCACAAACCCAAAACACAGTCCACAAAGAAAATTAACCCATCCAGACCCAGTATAAGCAAGAAATAAATCCATGTCGGTGATCAAAGGGCAAGATTTGCTCTCTTTTCCCTTCTTTCCTGAGAGCATTAGGTCCTATGAAGATGGACAGGGAGCAAGCCTAGGGAACTGATCTGAATTTAACCCAGGAATTACCTGAAAAATTTCTCTGTTTTATAAAATAATAAAAAATAAATAAAGACACAGGCCATAAATACTAATGCCTGGCCAGGAAGAACAAGAGAGAGTTTGAAAGGTGAAGCAGCTTTGGGAAGTGAAAAACAACTATCTCATGTCTTCCATGAACTAGGTGGTAGCATCCTAAACTCCAGTCTTAGAGAAGAGGGTCATGCTTGAACTGCATTACCTTAGATTAGGCTAAAGGCTTAGAAAAGCATGCATAAAAAGGTGGGGTCATTCTTAGTGAGGAGCTAATTTTCATTTCAACAAAACCTCCCATTGATATCTGACCAATGACAAACCTAAAATTAATCCAAATAAAGACAACAACCAAATAAATATAACCTATGGCATATTAGACAACAGCAACATTTCCCTTCCTATTACTGTCAGTATCCTTTGGCTGTTTTGTTCACAGGAAGACAAACAGATTGCTCCATGTATTTCTAAACTCACAAAAACAATATTGATGTACTAAACCCAGTACTTATCAAATTCTATATTAAATTATGCACTGACTGCTAATCGAGCACTACATATATGAAGCATTTTATATACATATACACACACACCTTCTATAAATCAAATCTTCCTAGATGCAATTTCACAGCTTACAGTGTGACTAGGTTTTTAGAATTTTACAGACTTGCTCAAAACTGGAACAATTTAAATCCATAATAAAAGGAGAAATCAAGGACATGCTGCTTTTCCAGCATGTGGTCAGGAATGAACACACACAAACCACCAAATACATGCATGCATAATACCATGGACAGGTAAAAGAGATAAAAACATAAAATGATAAATATGACATCCTAACTTCTTTCTTCTCATGTAGCTTACATTTGAAGTATGTCACCTAAAAACACACAAAAGGAGACTGTGTCATTCTCTTGCACCACAGTAATGGAAAATTGTCACAGTAAAAGCACCCTGAATCCACAATTAGTGAAACTTGAGAATTATCTGCTTCTGTGACTCGCACGGCCTCAACTGATTTTTTAATGCAATAGCAAATGTTTTGACAGAAATGTCTTGGTGTCTGACAAAAATGTGAAGTGTAAATGCAAAAATACAGATATATATATATACCAAAAATACATTTCAGAAATATCATCCTACAAGTGGAAACATTTTAGACACTGTATGTTAAAGATTCTGTGTTTGAATAAGTCACAAAGTGGAGTGAACAATGCAGAGAAACCATGCATGTCAAGAGAGGAATTTCAGAAATGTAAACTGGGGCACATAACAACTGAATTCCTATTTTTAATATAGTAGGGTGTAGGTTGTGGTGGGGTTTAGGTGGATGAGGTTTTTTTTCTTATTTGAAACTTCTTCATTTTCCTAGGATTTTATGGTTTAAATTTATTTCAATTTATCACCTTTAAAACCAAAAATGGCTGAGAAAAGTCTTCAGAGAAAAAATAACCAACAACAAACAAAATTATCCAGCAACTGAACTCAATTTTAAGAAACCCATGAAGTCCCACCAAAGACCAAAAACATTACACCACCTAAGAATATGCAAGGACATGGAGGGTTTTGCTGCAGAAGTGCACAAGCAATGCACTTACACACTGGTATCTCAGAACAGAAAAATCTCATTTCAGAGTCAGGGTTCATCTCAAACGCTGCAGCCATGAAGAGGCCATTGCCACTCCTGCTAACCTGGTGCATTTCAGTGAAGTGCCCGAGAGGTTTTCTGTTCCTTGAAAATTTCATTTAAATCCTTCAATGCCTCCTTATACTTCCAGTTTCAAATGGGAGTTAACACTGAACAAACATTCATCAAAATTGCTCTGATTTTACAAATACTCCTTAATCTGTTT